GATGGTCACGGAGCCTGGGTTCCCGCCAAAGCCTTCGATGTTCTCCTGGACCCAGGTTAGGGCAGCCACCTGGTCCATTAAGGCCCAGTTCCCTGCAGCATGCTGGTCCCCTGTGCTGGAGGCAAAAAGCAGGGTGAGAATTCTCAGCCAGCCACCTCCACAGCCCATGGGGTTTGAAGCAGAGACTGGCCAGTGGCAAGGCACTGTCACTGCTGGCTGAGGAGGGGCTGAGAGCTGCAGGCCTGGAGGAGTTAGGAAAAATCTGGGTTTAGTCTTAATCCTTTCCTGAGACTTTGGTTTCTTAGAGACTCTGATGAAAGCTACGAGCCCTCCGAGGAAAAGCACATACAACATTGCACGTGCAATTGCAAGAGATCCGTAGGCTCCTCTATACCCAGGGGTCCTGAGATGAACGCTGCCCTGAGAAGCCAGTGCTCCCCACCGGCCCCTCACTTGGTTCCCTTTCTCTGTCGGTGACCCCTCGACTGACTCTGACTCTGCCTTCTCTCTCCATGATCCCCACATCTGGTCAGAAGCCAAGCCCTGCCGCCTCTGCCCTCACAGTGGCTGCCATTCCTCCTTCTCTGTTTATCCTGAAAAGCGTTACTGTCAAATGAGTATGAGCTCCACCCCTGGCAGAAGATTTCTAGCCTGGTCACTTAGTATCTGGGTGACTTTAGGCAAGTCTCTTAATGTGCTTTGCGTCAATTTTCTCACTTCTAAAATGTGGATAAGGAGCTCTGGTGGCGTAGTGGTTAAAGCTCTGTGGGAGAAAGATGAGGTAGTCTGCTTCCATAAAGATTACAGCCTTGGAAACCTTATGCAACAATTCTACTCTGTCCTAAAGGGCCGCTAGGAGTTGGAATCAACTCAATGGCGGTAGGTATGGTTTTTTGGTGGAAAATGTGGACCATAGCAATGCCTGTTTCCCAAGGTTGTTGTGATGACTGATGGCTCCAGGCCTACAATAAGGGTGATGTACACATTCGGCAACGGTCTTGTTACTCAGCCAACTCCCTGTTTCATCCCCCATGAGCTGAAGCCTCCATGGGCATCAAGGCAACGGCAGTAGCCACTGGACTGGACTCCCCGTCTGCAGCCTGTGCCCTCCTAGCCCAGCCTTCACTCCGCCCTGGACCAGCCTTCCTGCTGCACTGCGTGGACCAGGGCCCTCCTAGATTCCTCAGTCTTTACTGGGTAAAGGCCAACCTCTATGTGAGGCCTGGCATTGCAGGCCTTTCCCAATCAGTCCTCTCTGTTATTCCAGACTCATCTCCTGCTCTATCCTCAAACATAGACATTGTTAGTAAAGTTTTGGAAATCTTTCTGCCAAAGGAATCTTGCACAGAATCCTGATTTGCGAAACAGCTAAAAGTATCAATTGCTCTAGCCAGGCCACACCCCTTGGTCTCCCTTGCTTCCTCACAGCAGTTCCAGAGCCACTGCCAGTGCTAATGCTCCAAGCACAGTTTGCAAATACTGCTCCAGCCCCACTTGCTGTTACATGTGACTTCTAGCCTTTGTTTAGGCAGCACCCTCTTCTGAGCATGCTCTCTCCCAAACTCTCCTCTCCCAATCAGGTCAAATCAAGGTGCAACTGAAAGGCCGCCTCTCTCATGGAGCCGCCCTGATTTCTTATAGCTCTCTCCTTTGTGCTCAGGGCTCCTTGCCTCTCAGTCCCAGAGTACTATGTGTGTCCTGTCTGGTAGCATGGAAATGTGTGTCCTTGCATTAGCTTCCCTGCTAGACGTGAACCTCTTTTTTTTTTTTTTTTT